ACGCGGCGGCCGCGGAGATGCGCGGCTTTGCTTCTCCAGCCTTGGTTTCCCCCAAACCCCTGAAAAGCAGCATCCCCGTTCCCGGCCCTTCGTTCCGCCCGGGACGGAGGTGTGAAACGAATTTAGCCACGCCGGGCTAGAGCAGGGGGATGAGCCGCTTATGGCTGAAACTCCACCAGCTCCCAAACGGTGACCGAAGTCGCTGTCAGTAAAACGCGCCTACGTTAGCAGGAAGCGGAGAAGTATCCTCACATGGGTGCTTCTGTGTAGAAAAGCCCTGTTTGCCTCCATGCTGAGATGCTGCTTGCAAGGTCAAACCTGCTCTTGCGTTAGCGAAGTGGGAAAACTTAAGCCCACCTCAGTGAAGAAGAGGAGGAATCGCCAGTACTAGGTGACAACGGAGGAAAGCAGGTGTGACAGAAATGCCACCAACGCCATATTAAGGAAAACCAGAGTGCAAACAGCACCCTCTGTCCTGTAGCACTCAGCTTCTCGGTGAGAGTTGTGAAAAACCCAGCAGGCAGCAGCCTTCCGTGGCGCATCTCCCCTTCCCGCGGCAGCAGCACAGCTGGCGGCTCCGCCAGCAGCTCCCAGGTCTGTTCTCCGGGTGGCTGACGAGATTTGCCAAGTACCTCTTCAGGCTGGCGGAAAGATGACAGCAGCCGGAGTGAAGTGCTCTCAGCACCTCCCTGCAGCGGGCTGCTAAGCGAGCGCGCCGGTGCTCTGCTTGCCGAGGGAACGGCTTCCTCCTCCGCTGGGAGAGCACAAAGGCGTTCGGCTGTAAGGAAAAGCAGAGACAAAAAGCCCAAGGGTCGTAACCGGGTACAAGCGTGGGCTCCAGGGTAAAGGGCAACTGGGAAAACCACAAATGGAAACCTCTCAGCCACTAGCAGGAGCGGGAGCTGCCGGAGCAGCCCTGTCCCTAGCGAACGCGCTCTGCCTCGACGACAGCGCAACCCCACATTCATGGCAGCAGCCAGGGCTGGGCAGCAGCCGCCACCGCCAGTTTGTTGCAAAACAACCAAAACTACCAGCTTCTTCCATTTTCCAAAGCGTTCGTCCTCAGGTGAGTTGAAAGCCTGTATTGCTCTCCTTGCCGAATGGGGAGATTTACACGAAAAACCAGTCATCTTCAGATCTCTGAAGGATTCACAACGGTATCAAAGAGTTTTGCGCTTCTTTTGATGGAGAAACCACCTACCAGGCATATGTTTTTTTTGACACGCTCCGAAACGGTCACTGGAAAGAGCTCTTACCAGAAATGCTTTCTCAGTAACGTAGTTGTGTGCTGGAAGTTTAATTACAGAAACTATCAGTGCAACAGGAGATAAACACTTTGCTTTTGAAGGGAATTAATTTATTTGGAGATCTACATCACACAGACACGCTGCTGGAGATCCAAGCAATGCCTAACCTCGATATCGTCAAATCATGCTCTGGGGAGCTCTCTTGGATTTTAAATACTTATTTTAAGAACCAACTTCCCTCCTTTGAAATAAAGCTATGCTCAAACGTCACAGATTCCCCAAAAGCCACCTGCACCAGTTTTTCTAGTTGTTTTCCTTGAAAACAAGCAGGCAACGGGGTGGCATTTTGGTTACCCATAGGGAAAGGAGGCGGAAGGACCCCCGTTTCTCTTGAAGGGAGGGCAGGCAACACGCATAGAAAAAGCTGCAGGGAAACGCCATGGTTCCTGGCTGCCATGTGCTGTCGAGGAGTCACGAGGCATCCCCGCCTGGAGTTCCCAGGTTCCTGTTCAAAATCCATGTCCTATAAAACCACCTCTCGCCGACGAGCGGACGCGCTGCTGCTTCAGGAGAAGGTCAGCTGCCCAGACGTCGCGTAGTAGCCAGAGGCGTCTGAGGAGAACCTCTGGGAAAGACGCACCGCATCCAGCTGCACCTCTCCGAAGTAGAAGTTCTCGAAGAGCTGAAAGAGAAGAGACAAAACATTCAAGGGGCACCTAGAGAAATGCAGCCTGCAGCTGGTCCACAGATTTTCTGCAAGAGCTAGCCCTGCAAAAAGCCTCTACTCATCAACTTGTTTTGCCTTTGACAAAGCTATTCTTTTAATCATTTTTTCCCCTAGAGACTGCACTTAGCCTTTAAAGCAAACAGGGTATGAAATGATCACCTCTTTTTATCTACAGCAGCACTTGCTCAAAACGTCCCTACCTCGCCTTCTGACTTTGTCTCATTCAGGGAGCTCGGGGAGGCTCTTTCCCGCCCCGAAGGCCACCACCTCAGGATGGCTCTCGAGGTCGCATGCTCGACAGGAGCAAGGATTGAGGCCAGGACGTTTTTACCAATCCAGGCCACAGGACGTACGATTCACAGTTACGGCTCGGTCCTAATTCAAACTAGCAGGCTAGAGGCGCACGGCTCTTCATCCCAGCACTGACCCCGCTTTGTTCAACAAATCCTTCTTTGTTCGGCAAAGACCTCAGCGCAAATTAATGAAAGCAAGCCAACTCTGCGACCCGGAGGGCGTGTCTCTGCTGATTAATCCAATCTATGAAGCAGACCAAAAAAATGACATCAGAATTTCTTACGGGGAAGTTCAGCAATATTGCTGGAAAGGCATCGTGTCCAAGCGTAAAGTGCTCCGCCAGTTCCATTAAGATGCAGGAAATTGCTCTACCTGAAACATCGGTCGTGCTTTAGGAAAAGCTCTTCAGGGGAGATGCTAATTTCAAAACTCTGCTAACGGGAGCACTGTGAGTCACTGAGGGCCAGAGCAGTGACACCTCCCCGCTGCGGAGATCTCTGAAATGCCCATTCCATCTGTCTCCGACTGAATTTTCTGTCTGTCCTGCAGGCGTCTGCTCAAGACAGACAGTCACACACCCCTTCCTGCCATCACAGAAAGCACTAGCGCTAATGGCCAGTGAAAGCCCCGCGGATTAATTACAACCCATCCTCTGGAGCCAATGGTGCATCAATTCCTCCATCTAGCTAATGATCTAAACCCGGAATATCTAGTTAGCATCTGAAAGTCTGCACTTGTCCACCTCCAAACAGGAATTTGGCTCTGCCTGGCACTGATTTGGGCACGACTGCTCTTTTGTTGGTTCTCCCAAGGGTATTCTACTTTGCAAATACCCCTTTTTGCAAGGGGACCAACTATGTTTCTTTCAGGACAACTCCTGGTGTTGCTGTCACTCCTGCACAAAGAAAAACTGCCTCAGGGAAAGTGACTCCCTGCCCATCTTCAGGGCAGAGCGAGCAGGTCTTCAGCCAGGGAGCACCACGGTGGTACACGGACCGCAGACCAGACGCCAGGCGCCATGCTGAATCCAGCCCCTGCTCCAGACTGCCAGCTCACCCGGACAGCTCTCCACTCAGGATTTGGCTGAGGCCAGCAATTCCTCATCGACACACGACAGTCAGAACGGCATCTCTGAAGAGAAGGGGTATTTATGCGTGCCGAGCCAGCTCTCAGTGACTGCTAAGCCCCTGCTTCGGTTTGAAACGGCTGCAGCTGCAGTCAGTCGTGTCGCAGAATTCTTGCTGCCAGCAGCCCACCTGCCAGGGACCACCTCCTTCTCCCCGGACCTGCCTGCATGGCAGCACAGGCAGTCGACCCTCAAGCTGCTTCTGCAAAACACGCCTCGCCGCAGGGAACTGGGTGTCTCTGCGCCGGACCGTTTAGTCACAGCATGCCTGCCTAGGAGAGGCGGTGGGCAGCCTCAGGCTCACCTGCACCTCCCTGCAGCTCACCCTGCCTCTGGGGTGACGCTTGTCCCTTAAGACCCCAGCACAAGGACGTACTTTGCACAGGGCCCAAAGTAATTCGCCGCTAATCACTCAGACTCATATTAAGCCGCAACTTGCTGCCGGTCCTTCCGAGCATGTACTTGGCAGGAGCCAGGCACCCCGCCACGGGGGTCACGCAGGTCCCCGTCCCAGCAAGAGGCCCCACCGCAGCAGCCTGGCTTCAAGGGACACTGCACGCACGGCTCCATGCGGCCACTGCCCTAAAGCGGGGCACCCTGTTGAAAAGAAGTTGTGCTAAGGGAGCGTCTCAGGCAGGGAGAGGTGGAAAAGAGGGAAGAGAAATGACTACAGCCATACAAACTCCATTTTATACAATTAAAGATTTATACAATTAAAGATTAATTATGTTCCTAAAAGCCCGCGTAGTTCGAGGACTTAGGATAAAATGTCTCATTAATAAGAGATGGTAGTCAAGAGGGGCTGGTCTCCTTTCTCTTTTTGCTTTGGCTGATCTGAGGAGGAAGGGTGATTTCCAGCTCTCCAGGGCTTGCTGCACTGCTTGCCACCAGTGTGCCCACTCACCCCAAACCTTAACGCCCGACTCTGTCAAAACAGTCGTTCACATTGACGCTCCTTTCCTTCACGGAATGCTCTCCACCCAGGAAAAGTGGACATAACTTCTCTTCATTCCTAACAGAGGGATCTGTAGGTGTGCCGGCAAGCAAGAAGATACTAGGATCTGAAAATGATTTTTTGAAAAGGGAAGGCAGACAAGACGCATTTATTTCTGTAGAATGAAGTCTTTGCAAACACGAAGAAAACAGACAAAATACTAGGATGTGCGGGTCCCATCAGCAGCCCTGGAAGTCAAACCTTTACACAAAACAGCCAAAGGAAGAGTCTTTCAAATACTTGTTTATACTATCTCTGCACGCCACAACCTGTTTTTCTTACAAAACACATGTACTTCAAAGCAAAAATTAGTTAATGAAAAAAACCCTGCCCCCAGCCCCCAGCCCCCAGCCTCTCTTCCCTGGCACAGCCTCAGGCACAGCGGAGCAGAAGGACAATCAGAAAGCCCCAGAAGACACTGCCCAGGTCGAGGGCCCTCCATTTGTACGCTGCTAAAAGTGAGGCAAAACCCTTGTACCAAAGCACTTTGTATTCCCTTGGCTTTTCTAAGACCTACCACCTCTTGTGTGTCCGAGCGTGTGTGTGTTTCCCAGGGAGCATGCTGCTAGAACTATTGATTTTTGGTAATGTAGCTGTACTTTCTGAGAGTAAACATGCTACAAGATTTAGAGGACAAGCACAGACATTTTTTTCTGCTCTCGTTTCAAGCTTCTCACTGATGCTTCTTTGCTCCCTGAGGCTTCCCACGACAGCAGCCGCTGGGTGG